TCAGGAATCTGTACTTGTCATGAATCTGTACTTGTCTTTTCCATGAATTTTCTTGAAGATAAAGCACTTTTGGATTTTAGATACTTAATGTCTGGATGAAAAAAGACTTAAAAATAGACATGGTTAAAGATCTGATGAGAGTTTATTAAAATGTAACTGACAATAAAATTTGGTTATCTCTGTAACATAATATTTAAAAATAACTGGGATTATGACTGATTTACCAGGACTTACCAGTTTTCTAGGAATTTTATAAAATTTCTGGAACACATATTAATGTATATCGATATAACTCAAAGAAGGTTAAATATTTTTCCAGTTTTAATTTTCTATTTTGTTATTTTAAATTCTGGGGTACATGTGCAGGATGTGCAGGTTTGTTACATAGGTAAATGTGTGCCATGGTGGTTTTCTGTACCTGTCAACCCATCACCTAGTTATTAAGCCCAACATGCACTACCTATGTTTCCTGATGCTCTCCATCCGCCTAACCCCTCCCACCTACAGGCCCCAGTGTGTGGTGTTCTCCTCCCTGTGACCATGGGTTCTCATTGTTGAGCTCCCAGTTATAAATGAGAACATGTGTTTGGTTTTCTGTTTCTGCATTAGTTTGCTGAGAATAATGGCTTCCAGCTACATCCATGTCCCTGCAAAGGACATAACCTCATTCTTTTTTATGGCTGCAAAGTATTCCATGGTGTATATGTACCACATTTTCTTTAGTCTATCATTGATGGGCACTGATTCCATGTCTTTGCTATTGTGAATGGTGGTACAATGAGCACACATGTGCATGTATCTTTATAATAGAATTATTTGGATTTCTTTGGGTATATATACACCCAGTAATGAGATTGATGGGTCAAATGGCATTTCTGGTTCTAGGTCTTTGAGGAATCGCCACACTGTCTTCCACAATGGTTGAACTAATTTACATTCCCAGCAACAGTGTAAAAAGCATTCCCATTTCTCCACAGCCTCTCCAGCATCTGTTGTTTCTTGACTTTTTAATAATCACTGGCCAGGGGCAGTGGCTCATGCTTGTAATACCAGCACTTTGTGAGGCCGAGGCAGGCAGATCATGAGGTCAGATAGAGACCATCCTGGCCAACATGGTGAAACCCCCTCTCTACTAAAAATACAAAAATTAGCTGAGCGTGGTAGCGTGCACCTGTAGTCCAAGCTACTCAGGAGGCTGAGGCAGGAGAATCGCTTGAACGTGGGAGGTGGAGGGTTGCAGCGAGCCAAGATTGCACCACTGTACTCCAACCTGGTGACAGAGCAAGACTCTGTCTTAAAATTAAAAAAAAAAAAATCAATAATCACCATTCTAACTGATGTGAGATGGTATCTCATTGTGGTTTTGATTTGTATTTCTCTAATGATCCATGATAAGCTTTTTTCATGTTTGTTGGTGGCATAAATGTCTTATTTTGAGAAATGTCTGCTCATGTTCTTGGCCCACTTTTTAATGGGGTTGTTAATTTTTTTTCTTGGAAATTTAAATTACTTGTAGACTCTGGATATTAGACCTTTGTCAGATGGACAGATTGGAAAAATGTTCTCCCATTCTGTAGGTTTTCTGTTCTCTATGATGATAGTTTCTTTTGCTCTGCAGAAGCTCTTTAGTTTAATTAGATCCCATTTGTCAATTTTTTCTTTTGCTGCAATTTCTTTTGATGTTTCTGTCATGAAATCTTTGTGCCTATGTCCTGAATGGTATTTCATAGATTTTCTTCTAGAGTTTTTATAGTTTGGGTTTTACATCTAAGTCTTTAATCCATCTTCAGTTAGTTTTTGTATACAGTGTAAGGAAGAAGGGGTCCAGTTTCAATTTTCTTCATATGGCTAGTCACTTCTCCCAGTTTCATGTATTAAATAGGGAATCCTTTCTCCATTGCTTGTTTTTGTCAGGTTTGTTGAAGATCAGATGTTTATAGATGTGTGGTCCTATTTCTGAGTTCTCTATCCTGTTCTATTGGTCTATGTGTCTGTTTTTATACCATTACCATGCTGTTTTGGTTACTGTAGCCTTGTAGTATAGTTTGAAGTCAGGTAGCTGATGCCTCCAGCTTTGTTCGTTTTGCTTAGGATTATCTTAGCTATACAGGCTCCTTTTTGGTTCCTTATGAATTTTAAAATAGTTTTTTCTAATTCTTTGAAGAATGTCAATGGTAGTTTAATGGGAGTAGCTTGAATCTGTAAATTACTTTGGCCAATATGGCCATTTTCACAATATTGATTCTATCTGTGAGGATAGAATGTTTTTCTATTTGTGTCCTCTCTGATTTCCTTGAGCAGTGGTTTGTAGTTCTCTCTGAAGAGGTCCTTTACTTCCCTCATTAGTTTTATTCCTAGGTATTTTATTCTCTTTGTAGCAACTGTGAATGACAGTTCATGCATGATTTGGTTCTCTGCTTGTCTATTGTTGGTATAAATGAATGCTTGTGATTTTTGCACATTGATTTTGTATCTTGAGACTTTGCTGAAGTTGCTTACCAGCTTAAGTTTTAGGGCTGAGAGGATGGTGTTTTCTAGATATAGTATCAGTCAAGCATCATTTCTTGACAATTCCTCCCATATAATTTAACATATCAAATAAACCTAATTAGCCTAATATGTCTCTTTTATAAGAAAAGAAAAAAATTATCTTGGCAAATCTCAGAAGCCTGTTTAGAAAATCTCAAACTAATTCAAGGTCAAAAAAGACTTAATTTAAAACTGAATTACTGGGAGTTTCTCAAAAATATCAAAAGGTTTAAAATATTTGATGAAATAGGATCACAGAACACTTTGAAATAAAATCAAAGACACAAGATTTCAAAGGCAAATACAGAAAATTAACGTAGTTGTGTAGATAAAATGAAATTAAATCAAATGACACAAGATTTCAAAGGCAAATACAGAAAATTAACATAGCTGTAGGAAAAGAAACTTAGCTCTTTTAACATTGAAAAGATTTGATTGTCATAAGTAATCAAAGATATAATAATTAAAACATGAAACACAAAGTTATTTTGACAAAACACAGAATCTTCCCCACCCTCAAGAAGAACAATCAAAAGGTAAAGAAATTTTACTTACCATATTTTATCAATATTCCAAGAATATCTTGCTTTTAAAAGGGATGACAAATTCTAGTTTTGCATCACTATACTTTAATATCGAAATAATAAATTAATTGATATTTTAAAAAACTTATAAATTCATTCCATTTTAATCAGTTTGACCACTCAGATTTCTTTCCCTTTATCACTCCTTCAAATTTTTTATATCCATTCAGTTTTTGTTCATTCTTCCTTATTCATTCTTAAACAACCTTCCAAAATCTTACCTAGACAGACATATTTTTCTCAGCAAAAAATCTCATCCGCACATGTTACTTTCCTTGTACATTTTGTATACACTTTTCCTTATTACTAGGAGTTTGATTTACATATTAGAATTTTAAGTCTTAGTAACAAAATTTCCTGTGAAAACCTAGGAACAAGAAATTTTAAATGATCTGAATACACATTTTATAATTTCTAGGAACACATGCTTCCTCAGAACAGTTTAATATGAAACAGAGCATATTTACTAAAAGACTCAATGATTTTTTTTCTTTATATAAACTCCAAGAAGCCAAAATAAACTGAAACTTATGTTCAGCAATTAATATTGCAGTATTTCACTTTATTTGGAAATGACATACACATTCAATTAATATCCATCATCTAAGGGTATAGTTACCAAAGACACTGGGAAAGCATTTTAAGTAGGCATATTATAACATTATTGTCTAAAAGTTTATAAACTTTTATTCTACTTTTATTTCACTCACTTGTTCCTTGCAATTATGCTTAGATTATTTATGAAATTTAAATGATATATTCGACAAAAACTAGTCATCTCAAGGTATTTCCCTGTCAACTATATTTGTAGCACCTGCATTTAGGGCAAGTATCACAAAATCAAGAATACAAAAAGTTAAATAATTGGGCTTTTGTTTTTTGGCTGTGCTTTATATACAAAAAGTAGTGGACACTGAACTTTCTCTTGTGCATTTGTTCTTAGGTTGCACCAATTATCTTAGGATTTTAAACATCCAACGAAAATAAAAGTTGTCTGTCTGCATTATATTTAATGCTAACAACTCTAAAGACATGTTGTTTTAAACCAATGACATTTTTATTTACCAAAGTTTACTAAGCTAACATGAATTTGAGAAACATTTGAGTTCTATTTTTCTGAGAGAATAATTTTTTAAACACTTACTTTTCCTTAAGTCAATTAAGTAGAGGTCATTTGGAGGCAGAAAAATATATTACATAACATATATACATATGTAGACATCCATAAACACAGAACAGATATCTCAACTTTCACTCTAAACTTTTGCCCCATGGCAGCTATATAGTAATTCAAAACTTACTGAATCTGGCATATTGAACAAAGTAAGGTTACCTGCTCAGATGGTTAAAACTTTTTAAGAGTTTTCATTTGCTGGTTTCCAAACAGTCGTCTCCCTCCCTCCTTCCCTCCCTCCTTCCCTCCCTCCTTCCCTCCCTCCTTCCCTCCCTCCTTCCCTCCTTCCCTCCCTCCTTCCCTCCCTCCTTCCCTCCCTCCTTCCCTCCCTCCTTCCCTCCTCCCTCCTTCCCTCCCTCCTTCCCTCCCTCCTTCCCTCCCTCCTTCCCTCCCTCCCTCCTTCCCTCCCTCCTTCCCTCCCTCCTTCCCTCCCTCCTTCCCTCCCTCCTTCCCTCCCTCCTTCCCTCCCTCCTTCCCTCCCTCGTTTATTTTCTTTCCTTTGTTTTATTTTATCTGAGAATTATCTTTCTTAAATTTGCATTTCATTTCAAAAGTAATGGTTCTTGGATAAGAAAAGATAGAAAATTTACATCTCAAGGGTACAGAGGAAGAATGCACATTTACCAAGAAGTTTTGGAGGCATATTTGCCTATTATCAGATGTCTAGGGCAATTACTATTTAAACTTTTCCTTCTTTTCTTAATTGCAGGACAGTTCCGTTTTCAATGTCTTGATTTTCTAAAGTATCTACAAGCTTCTTGAGATACATAGATGAGGTTTGGGAATTAGTAAGAAGGAAAGGTGAGTTTGAATTTCTTCTAGAGGCATATTTCTATTTTTGTAAAGACTCAATTTGTAAAACACTTGTTTTTAATTCTTCAAAGAATTGGGTTGCAACCTAAATAGTATCAAGGATTTGACTCATCCATCCTGCATTATCTTCAACTTGCTCCTTTACATCAGGGAGAAGATTTCCCACTAAGATGGAAATCAAAAGATTCATTTATTCTATATTTGGAACTGTTCATCTTTGGAATGTTTTAATAAACTTTTTTCTTTCTATGCATATAGTGCCATTTTAGCTTAGGAGAGAAAACCTAAAAAAAATTCTCTTACACTCTGAATATAAACCAAAGTTCTAAAACAAAGGTATACCTAAACAGGTGACTCAATTCTAAAACTAATAAGCCTTTTATGGCTGCACCATAGATGCACTAGTCATCTTCAAAGCGAAAGTAAAATGATAGTTCTTCCAAGAGCTAGAGTCACTCAAAGACATACAGAAGAAAGACTTAGACAATGTCTCTGTGAGCTGGCAGCAGTTGGTATACTATGTCCAAATGGGGTGCAACCAACATTTCTTTCTGACCATATTCTTGGGAGCTCCTAACATACGTACCCCTGGCAGGCAGAAGGCCAAGCCAAGATCTCAGCTCTCCTTTGGAGAAAGAGAATGAGTAACAAATGGGTACTCCAAAGCCAAGAGTCATACTCAAATAAATTGTTACAAATGTTTCTCTTGAGCTGAAGGAATTTATTGAGGAAATTGAGCTGAATTTGGAGAAGATGTGTTTTCAATTAGAGACCCAAAGATCCAAATGAGCTTTGTTTTTTTTTGTTTTTTGTTTTGTTTTTTTTGAGACGGTGTCTCGCTCTGTCACCCAGGCTGGAGTGCAGTGGCCGGATCTCAGCTCACTGCAAGCTCCGCCTCCCGGGTTTACGCCATTCTCCGGCCTCAGCCTCCCGAGTAGCTGGGACTACAGGCGCCCGCCACCTCGCCCGGCTAGTTTTTTTTTTTTTTTTTTGTATTAATAGAGACGGGGTTTCACCGTGTTAGCCAGGATGGTCTCGATCTCCTGACCTCGTGATCCGCCCGTCTCGGCCTCCCAAAGTGCTGGGATTACAGGCTTGAGCCACCGCGCCCGGCCCCCAAATGAGCTTTTTTAGAGGGTCAAGGACCTGGACATAAGAAAGTATGAGGACAGAGAAGGGGAATTTATGGTCAGTTTAAAGAATTCTAACTTGTTCTAAATCTGTATTCTCCTTTTTAATATTGCTAAGGAAGTCTCTAAGGCAATCTGTTACAGTGCTTTGTGTCTTCATTTCAATTTGATTTTTCCATTTGTACCAATAAGACAGTTGTTTAGGATGAGAGCTCTCTAAAATTTTTTCAAATATAACCAACTTACTTATTCTAGAGGCAACTCAAAGCAATAAGACTTTTCATGAAAATACTTTCCAGGTTTAGAATACCATGATGGTGAAAATGGTGTTCCTAAAGTGAGTACAGAGAATGCAGCCCCCATGATCTAAAAAGTTTGCTGTCAGAGATAAACTAAGAAAGCAAAAACCTTCATTGCCAGAGGTGGTAAGAACAGTATTTGTGAAAATGTCTCTGGTCTCACAGAAAATTAGGGTGCCTCCAGTCCCTGAACCATTATGTGTCATTGGTGACACCAATAAGGTGCTACTGGGACTGGACTTTCTCAGTGTTTGTCAAGCAGTTGAAGGTTGAGACGACAAAGGCCCTTATGGATTGGGACCTCTCATTAAGACAAACTCACTTGAGCACTATCATGACTGAACAGATACTGCTGCTTGTGACTTTGTGTCTGCAACTTCCAGCCTATTCAACAGGCTGTCTGACCCAAGCCGGCACACTTGCCTGCCGATTGGCAGAGACCGAAGACAGTGTTCTCACTGGTCAAATAGCCAGATTCTCAGGATATAAAACAAAAGGAGAACCTCATACCTTTTTTTTTTTTTTTTTGTCTCGGAGACCTACAGCAAAGTTTGCCTAAACAGACATCACTCTAGTGAGAACTGTGAACTTACCTGGCTGGGAGGCCAGCTCAAATAATAAGCTTATATATAAGCCTTATGCCTATGCTTTTACCGTCTGATTCTCCTCTTTATGACACATGAAATAAAAAGAAAAAAAAAATGACGTCTCTGGGAGGGAAGGGGTCAGAAAACAAGAGTACTCATACCCCGCCAAAAAAAAAAAAAAGTTGCTCTGTGTGTGAACAAGAACTAGTTCATACACATTTTTTTCCTGCTAATTCAAATTTAGAAAGGGAAAAAGACAAACTCCTACTACTCTTTGGCCACACTTTGTAGGCAGAGATCTGGCAACCTGATGTGGAAAGAAATCTCATCTGTGACCACCATTTTGCCAGGAGTCACAGGATTCTATAGCCGCAGCAAACTTGGAGCAAACTGGTCCCCACCAACCTAGACGAGACAAACCAATGATAACTGAAAATCACAATAAAATTGTAATACTCAAGATGTCAAAGAGATGATTCAGGAATAAAAAAGTACCATTAAAAAAAAATGTACTTCATTCCTTTTTTTTTTTTTTTTTTTTTTTTGAGACGGAGTCTCGCGCTCTGTCGCCCAGGCTGGAGTGCAGTGACACGATCTCTGCAATCTCCGCCTCCCAGGTTCACGCCATTCTCCTGCCTCAGCCTCCCGAGTAGCTGGGACTACAGGCGCCCGCCCACCACCACGCCCACATAATTTGTATTTTTAGTAGAGACGGGGTTTTCACCCTGTTAGCCAGGATGGTCTTGATCTCCTGACCTTGTGATCTGCCCACCTCGGCCTCCCAAAGTGCTGGGATTACAGGCGTGAGCCACTGTGCCCAGCTCCCCCACCCCCCCCCCTTTTTTTTTTTTTTTTTTTGAGACAGAATCTTGCTCTGTAACCCAGGCTGGAGTGCAGTGGAACGATCTCGGCTCATTGTTACCTCCGTCTCTGGGGTTCAAGTGATTCTCCTGCCTCAGCCTCTTGAGGGGCTGGGATTACAGGTGTGTGCCACCACATCCAGCTAATTTTTGTATTTTTAGTAGAGACAGGTTTTACCACGTTGGTCAGGCTGTTCTTGAACTCCTGACCTCAGGTTATCCACCCGCCTCGGCCTCACAGAGTGCTGGGATTACAGGCGTGAGCCACCGCGCCCAGCCCCCTTCCTTACTTCTATATAAATAATTTTTAAAATATTTGGAGAAATGGCCATTAGGCTAGAGTTATAAAATATTAATAAATCCAGATTAGTAGATTCTATTACTTTGTCTCACTACTTGAACTTTCTCTTAAAGTATTATGTACAAGACAGATAATTAGTACCTGTGTAGCACTAAGAATTCTGACTTCCAACAATTATTATCAGCCATCCTTTATTAGATTGATTTCAGAGTAAAAAATTGTGATGTGTTATTTAAATGGAACTGAGATTGTAATCACCAATCTTAAGCAATATTTCAGTCTTGTTCTTCAACAATTGGTAAGTTTCCAGTTTTGGGGTGAAATGAAATGGAATTCCCATGTGGATTCTACATGAGCAATTGGACAGACCTTTAATAATAGCTCTAGTATTTTTGACTCTTTGGAAAATGGGTGGGTTTGAGAGGAAGGTATGTTTGGCTATTTTCAAAGCTCTACTATAGTTAATTACAATGATAGTTAAAGGTGTAGATATTAAGAGTTAAATAATATTCATGGTCTATAAAGCCACAAATGTCAGGTAGGTGAGGTTCACAAGTTAGGCAGGCAGGATCAAAATGATTGCCCTATCTAAAGAGGGCAGTTGATGTTCATCTCCAACTAAGTGTTATACTCTGGCAAAGAAAGCTCAGAAAAAGAGCTGAAAATATTTCGAGTTTTGTTTCTAAAGCTCACTCTGGTCCCAAGCCAAGTGACTTGCTTTGGCCAGTAGGATGTTAGTAGGTATTATTCATGCAGAAGCTTAAAAGCCTACTTGTATCAGCCCACCTTCTCTTGGAATTCTACCGTAAGTACAAGCCTAGGCTAACCTGCCTGAGAATTAAAGATCATAAGAAGATTGCAAAGGTGTCCCATACCATCAGCCTAGAGCCAACCAACCTAAAAATATACTGGAGCCCCCAACCAAGATCAGCAAAAACACTTATGCAACCTGTAGCTGACTGAAGACCCATAGTGAGCCCAGCTAAGTCTGGCCTAGTTTAGCAAAATTGCTTAATTATCCCATAGATTCATGAGAAATAATAAATATTGACTATTGTATGGCACAGGTTTTGTGGTAGTTGGTTACATAGCATTAACATGCCAATAGATAACTGCTACATTTCCACCCCATAGAAAATGATCAATACATGTTAGCTATATACACTCATATTTCATTGAAACTAAGAAGTTTTCACAATGGCACTGTTTTGCTTTTTCCAGCAGCTTTCTATAGAAAGTTTTCATACAATAGCACTATAACTAACATATAGCTAATAGTGACTGCTATATTCCATAATTTCACCAGTACTCCGTGAAATACTTGTGATTGGTGAGTGTAGCTGAAACCTGGCTCCTTGGAACCATTGTGCTACAGAAATAAAGGTTGTCAGGTTGACACAATACAGAATCAGAATTTGGGGTTCGTGAATAAAGGGTTGCTAAATAGTGTATGGTGAATGGTCTCCTCCGTTAAAGCAGGTAAATGCTGTCCTCTTTGATATCCTAGGTGACCAGAGAAGAAGTCTGAGACACCCACAAGGGCTTCCAAGTTGTCAAAACATCACAAGGACAAAGGCTTGAGAAACAAGGCTTCCTTTGACACTTGCAATTTGAAGGGATAAAATATGGTCCCTAGAGTCTCTTTATGCTGAATTAGGATATTGTTTAATTACACTGGCCATAAATGATGTGGGGACAGTCAGTGAGATTTTAAATACTACAATTAAAGGTATTCATTGCATGTTTTGCTTTTTATGTTTCTTCAGGGCTTGTGCACTACCGAGGGACAAATTAATATTTTATTCCATTATTTCAATCTCTTATAGTTTTTAATAGAGTGAGGAAAATGAGGTTAATATTTGGCATTTATACTTTTGATGGCAGTTTACAGGCATTAGAAGAAAATCAATAATGTCATTTCATTGCTATTTTTCATTTTAAACCAAAAATAATCCCCAGGTTGGGACCTACACTTGACTCCAAATAACCTTAACCTGTATGTGAATATATATATATAATTCATATATATGTGTATATATTCATATATATGTGTGTATATTCATATATGAGTGTATATATATTCATATATATGTGTGTATATTCATTACATACATAATCTTCATCTTAAAAAAAACTTAAAAGTACTTTCACAGATGATGAATATATATACACACATACACACTCTTCATCTTAAAAAAAAAAAAACCCAAAAGTACCTTTAATAGATGATGAAGGCCACTTCAAAGATGAGTGTCCCCAAAGTGTTTGACAAAATGGTGACACCACAGGGATCTGGATTGTCCCTTACATGATGAAAACCACGGGGCGGTGGGGAAGTATTTCTCAGTCAAGAAGAATTAGCCTTCCATAGCTGAGTGATGAGCTGATTCTGAATTTTATTTTTGCCAAGAAATTCCTGTTACTCCCCTGTGTCCATGTCTAAGAAAAGGACCTTTGCCTTATTAATGATCAGGCTTGGGAACCAATCTGCTAAATTATCCTCTTTGCCTAAGATCTAGCTTTGATTTCCTGCCCAGACACCTTATGGTTCCCTGAGAGGGCAAAGGTACTGATCTAGTGGGGTGAGAGAGTATGGATTTTGGGATCACAAAGGTCATGTGTTAAAGCAACATATTAGTGAATATTTACTGAATAGTTTTTAATGTGCCAAGCTCTCTTCTAAGGGCTAGACATTTGGCATTTGATTTACCACTCACATCAGACCTATTATGTGGGTGCTGTTCATAGCTCTGTTTTACATATAGAGCTGGGGAGACTTGAGACAGAGAAATTAAGGGACTCACAGAGTCCTAATAGTTATTGTGTGGCACAGGACAGTATTCAACTCCCAGTAGACTGACTCCACGGGCTTCTCTGCATCTCTCCAGTGGAAGCCTTCCTCAGTTGGACTTTGGTCATTTTCAGATTCAGACAGACTCTTCAGATGAGCTAGAGGCGTTAGAAGAACAGGCTTCTTGGTTCTGTTATGAAGTAAACTATATGCAGTCGCACAAAATCACATTCAGGAAGTTGTTTAGGGCTTCTCAGGGGTTGAGATAGTTTAAGGTACACAACATCAAGTGTCCAATGGCAAAAGGTGGGGTGAGTCTGGGCCCCAGTGGATGAAATGTCCTGGGAGTATAAAGAGAAACACACATCTGTATTCCCTCCCCTCTCTTGGGCTCCACTCTCTCCTTGATGGCATTTGGGATTAGAAAGCAAGTGTATATGAGTTAGATCTGATGCTAATTAGAAGACATGTCCCCTCATTGCCATGTGAAGACAATGTTCGTTAACTAAAAAACATTCTCTCCGTTGCTGTAGAAATTACAATAATGACATTGGTAATAGAAAATTCTACAGCAGAAACACATCAAAGTTATTTCTATTCTCGTATTTCAATATCAAAACTCTGTTGTTCGAAACCATACCCACTCTAGGAGATTTTAAGATGTTTGTCTCTCCTCAGGAAACATCATACTTAGCTTTGAACGCTGGGGCTGTGAGGTCATCTAATTGTTTTTCCTGCCTTTGGCAATGTCAGGCAGGAACAACTCATTGTTTTAAAAGCTATACATCTGCTTTATGCCATTTATAATATGGAAATATAAAAAAGAAAATGGGTTCTTTGTCTTTGAAAAAATCAGATGTATTTGGTGTATATTGGTCACACGCCATATGCCTCAGAAACTGTTCTTGTTTGCAAGCCACAGAAACCAATTATACTTTATCAAAAATAAAATGTGTAATCAAGCTAATTAGCATACCCATCGCCTTGTATGTTTACCTTTATATGGTGATATATATGTGCATGAAAATATGTGGTATACCTTTAATATGCAATTATTCATCAATTATGTCTCAAAGTAAAATGATAGTAACAAATGAGCAATATAAGATTTATATATGCAAATATATAAAGATTTAGATATAAATATATTTATATATAAATATCAATAAGGATTTATATATAAATATCAATATGTAAAGATCTACATATAAATATATATCAATACATAAAGATTTATATATAAAAAATATATAAATGTATATTAGCCCCATCCCCTAGGCTAATGATATAACTCTGTAAAAATCTCTTCCCACCATTTAAATGTATTTATATACACACATATATGTACATATAAATACATATATTTATGTATTTTATGTATATATGTACAATATATTCATATATATTTTATGTATATAGAAATACATCATAAATACATGTATTTTAATGATAGGAAGATATTTTTACAGAGCGTTATTACCCCAGGGGATGGGGCAGCAGGAGCCACAGCTAAGGTTCTACAAAAGGACAATGTGATTCATGCATGTCTTAGCTTCAAGATTCAAAGTACTGAAAAAATAAAACAAGGATGGAAATGCTATAAAAACAGAGATAGGGAGGTGTTGAATGCTCACCAGGCAGAAACAAACAAAAGTTTTCTTTAAGCAAATGTAAAAACAACAACTGTGTGTGTGTTGCCTTATATAACACACAGATTTCTGAAAACCTGCACTTACAAAGCATCTTACTTCAGTTGTAAAAGGGTAACTATGTATTGTCTAATTCAGATGCTGCTGCTTTTTGTAGCTACTAATGCAAAACAGAAGCTCAAATTGATTTTTTTTAAAGTAAAATTGTCCCATAATTGCTTTCTTCTAGGAAAGAGGCTGAATATGTAATTGCACTCTTGTGGGGAAGCAAATTCTGAATTCTGCCAGCAGGAAGCTCCTCTCTTCAATAGATCTTGAAGGGAAGATTCCATCACGGATCCCATTACTTCAATCAGACAATTATCTCTCAAGAACTGAAAGAGGAATCCTCTTTTTTTGTTATTTTTTTTCCTTTTCTTGGTGTATGCGAGCATGTATGTGATCTTTTTCTCCAACAATACATAGTATTTCAACCATGAGTAGAGTGGTTGATTTAATCCTGTTTTCCAAAGGATTAAATAAATCATATTTGCTAGTTGAGTGCCTGCTAGGGGTCCCTACATTCTCTTTAAAGTCTACTTCAGGTAATGAGGCTTTCTTAGAGGACCACCAGCCCACGGAACATCTTCCCCTTTCTAGAATTCCACTGGGGCACAGTATCTGAAGCCCACTCTTATGCTTGATATTTCTGTTCTCTCGTCCTTTCCTGTGTGGGGATCACATGTCCTCTTCTAGTCCAGGCTTTCTGGCAATTCTTAAAGGGCTTCTGGTAAGACCTAAACTGGTCTAATATTGAAGGAATTGATACGGTTATTTGCTATTTATGCATGTGAATTATGAGCATTAACAAAAAGCCATCATCTCCCAATATCCCCCTCAAGATGAATCAATAATTAATAATTGGTCTTTGTGGCTTTTCTGGCCGCCTCTTAGAATTTGTGCACTTGAGCTGTTTATCGAAGGAGGCTGTAACCAAAGACCAGAAGCTTAAGCTGGCTTGTAAAAAGAGCCAAGAAATTTGGGGACCTTCTACTCCCATGGAACCTAAGCTTGGGGACTGCACGGCCCAGTCAAATTTTTTAGAATGATAAAATATGGAGCTGAATTTGCTAAGTTAGCAAATTAAAATTAAGACAAAAGTAAATACAATGACAAAATGAAAATTCTGGCAGTTAACAAGGGATTTCAAATAAAGAACATTTTTTATCACAAAAAGGATGAAAGAATATAATCCAAAATCAAAATAAAATAATTTATGTTGAATAAATTTACCTTTAAATAAAATATACTTCATTTTAAACTTTACCTAATTTTCAAAACATGTCATTGAACTCTACTATACAATAGAATATAATATATAGCATTGTACTCTGCAATATGAATAAATCTCACAAACAATGCTGAGTGAAATAAGCCAGACACAAGATGACCCAAACTGTATGGTTCAATAAAATATACTTCATTTTAAACTTTATCTAATTTTCAAAACATGTCATTGAACTCTACAATACTATACAATAGAATATAATATACAGCATTATACTCTGCAATATGAATAAATCTCACAAACAATGCTGAGTGAAATAAGCTTAGACACAAGATGACCCAAACTGTATGGTTAGATTTATAAAAATAAAGAGGTGAAACTATATTTCTGTTCATAGAAGTCAGGGTAGTGGGATGTTATCAAGTAGTAGATGGAGGGTGTATGGAAGGAAGTAAGGGAGGAGGCATTTCTAGGGTCCCAGTAATTTTGTGTGTGTTACAGATGATATGACATGTATCTTTTCATTTTATGTAAATTAAGCAAGTTGTACACTTAGGTGTACATTTTGCTATACTATTCTTCTATTACAATTTTTAAAAAGATATGCCATCACAGCCCCCTATGGACCTATGGGCATTTGTAAACCACTGAACTGGTTCAGTTTCCCTTTTGACAGATGAGGAAACTGAAGAGCTGAGAAGAAAACCACCTTGTTCAAAGTTACGTAGCAAATCAGGGATCCAACTGGCAATTGAGTCCAGGCTTCCTCAGCTGCATCCTGGGACCTTGTCATGCTGCAGGCTTTCTCGCCTGAGATCGCCACCGTACTTGAGTTGTCTCTACCAGGAAGGGCCTGACTTACCTTAAGATGCATACTCAGGTGCAGGGTGCTCAGCAGACATGTGATTTACACTCAATGAGCAAGACTTAGATGGATGTTGCCATCACTTCATCCTCACCCAGGGATCTGAGCACTTCTTAATGGATAACTGTCTCCTTTATACTCGTACATATCCAAGACATTGCATTATTTCTTTAAGTTTTTTTTCTCTTTTTCTAAGACAAATTCCTTTTCTTGAACATGTGGAGCTCCCCAACCCTTCTTGTTTTATTTTCCCCTCACATTTGCATCTTTTTCTTTTCACTATGATCCTCCTCTCTGCCTACAAATATGCTCAATATCCCTCTGTCTTAGAAAATAAACAAGATAAATGAACACAAAGCAAAACAGAGCAGCCTCTTTCCTCATCCCTGCTAGTGTATCATTAGGTATTTATTGAGTGCCCATAATGTGTCATTGTGCCAGCCCAGCCCACGGTCAGACAGGCCCAGGGTTCCCCTCTACTTAGTTTTTTATTTCTTCACACTGTTCGAAGAATCCAAGTAATTCTTAATTTTTTTCACTAATCTCCAATTTTTTTCTCAACCCACTGCTATCTGGCCTTCACTCTCAAGGTTCTACTGATACTGTTCTTTTGAAGGATGCCCAGATCCTCCTGCTGGGGCATCTATACATCTTAATTCACCCGGGATAGTGACAGCATATGCCTGTCATTCTGGCACTCATATTAATAGGCCCCTGTTTTTAAATTCTAAACAATTTATCAGATTGGTGAATAAATTATATAGTCAACCTTATGTTTTATTGACCACATAAATGGCCATTCCTGAGTCCTTGTTGACATCGAGCCTTTGTTATATTGGGCATAGTGTGTGTAATGGTTATGTATGTAGGCTTTAACATAGAGCCCTGGGTTCAATTCTTTTCTTGCATAGGATCTATGTGATCTTAGGCAAGTTACTTGATTACTCTGATCTTCAATTCCTTCGTCTTCTAAAAGGGCACAGTAATAATAGCATCTACCACACAATATACTTAGAAAGGTTTAACAAAACTGTATCTAAAGTATCTTGAGCAGTTTTTGGCAGTTACCATTCAATAAATGGAACTATTTCCTCACTGTGGCTTTCTTGTTGAGTCTAATGTAAACTCATGCTCCCCACAGTCTCCTCTTATCTCCAGTGATGTTTCTTGGGATACTTTCATCCTCTCACCCTTTATTTGCTCACCCTCACTCACTGTGGTCTCTGTTTTTATTGTTTCTATGTTCAACACTACAGTAGAGCCTAATGGTTAAGCTTCATGGTCTGTGCTGAGCAGTCAGACCTCATCGGTTTGTCATCCCAGCTCTGTTACATGCTAGCTGAGTGTACTTGAACAAGTTATTTTACCTTTTGTTGCCTTGGTTACTATAACTATAAAATGAGGTTTACAGAAGTATGTACCTTCATAGCTTCTAACAACTTTAAAGCAGTTGTTACAAAGATTCAGTGAGCTAAGTCATGTATCCTATGCTTTGCACAGTGCCTGGGACAGAGTGAGCACCCACAAAATGAGATAATAATTAATAATTAATGAGAATAAATTAATCAGCCTTAGCTCTGCCCATTGAAGATGTGAGAAATAAGTCTGAAACTCTCTTACATAACAGCCTTGTTTTCCCTGAAGCTCCTGGCCAGTTCCCTATAAGACATACGTCTGAGGTATCTAGTTATTCTTTAGAATAATTGTTTCCAAATTATTTCAACATTCTCTCTTCTTTGTGTTAAAATCAAGGTGCTCTAGTGGCATACTCGAGTTTATGGATTTATTTTTTTCCTCCACTACTAAGGTAGAAGATTCTTGGGAACAGAGGCTATGCCATATTCTCTCTAATCCCCATTCTACCTACTGCAGCATTTCACAACATTGCATGCAGTAGGTGCTCCAATAAATATTTACAAATGAAGTTTTACCCACTTTGAAGATTGCAAGTTGAAAAAGTAAGTCTAACTTAGCTGACTGGTTAAGTTGCCATGACTAAACCTCTTCTTCTCCCAGGGTCTAATTAAGGTTTCTGAAAATTATACTAATTCTCAGGAGACACAATGCCTTATATTCTAATAGTAAGCACTTTTTAATAGTTTTTTTTTTTTTTTGCCCACAGATCTTTTAATTTGTATAGTAAGTAATAAGATCTATAAGAGAAAATTTGAAGAATCAATAGACAAAGTTAGAGAATATGGAAGAAAGAGCATGAATTTGTTGTAAATAAAGTGTAAATGAAGCAAAAGATCATAGACTGGAGAAAGTTAAAATCTATAGCTTAATTACTAATACTCTGCATATTTAATGCAAATGGCCTCATTCCAACAACTCTAAAAATAATTTGAACAATAGATTTTTTTATGGACTAATACATCATTGACCTGCTGTGTATGTCCCCATAATTACCACCAAAAGTTTTTTCCTAGGCCTTCCTGTTTGTCTATGCATCAATTTACCATATATATCAGAAATTGTTTTTAGTGCCAGACAGTCAATCATAGACGAGACAAGCATCTCTCTGAATTCTTGGAATTTCATTCTCACATAGAAGACAGACATTAAACATAAAATTACACAATCAACTAAATACAGTGGTAATGTGTGTTTCTTGTTAACTTCAGGCATATATTGTCTTGGAATAGTATCAGTCTGTCATTTATTGAATGCCCATTCTATGGGCAGTATTTTGAATGATGGCTTATTAATTTCATGCAACCCTAGCAAGTGACTATTAGCTTTTTCATTTTATAGCTGAACATACTGATCCCTCAGAGTGTAATGAATCATATTGATATCATTTAAGATGTATTGATCTTTTTTGATGAGGCAGACCACCTATCTATACTATTTTATTTATCTTCAATGGACACCCATGAAAATGACGAAGCTCAGAGAAGTCAAAGGATTTTTTTCAAGATTATCCAACCAGCACATAGAAAAGGAAAAATTTAATTACTGTCAGACCCTTGTTCTGAACCCCAAGCTGTACTAAAGATAGATGACCAAATTGAGGATTAAACAGGTAGAATCACAGGCCCAGGATCCATATACATAAAAGATGTAAACCCAGCATGCTCGACTCCAAAATACATGCTCTTATTATTAAACATGAAGGATTAATTTCACTAGTGCTGTAAATTGGGGCCTGAGGGTATTTTGATTTAAGCCAGTAATATACCTTCAGTTTCCAAAACAGAACTAGCCTTGGCCCTCAGGCATGGGAGAAAATGGACGTCACTGCATCCTGCTCAGTCACTGCTACTCACCAGGATGAATTCCCCTCTCTTTCCTGCTATTTCTGTCTCCCTTCTTTCCAGTTTCTCTTTAAAACTCCTTACCTCCACTGCGCCTTCACTCTCATTATATCCCAAAGCTGCCGAGCTGTCTCTACTCTGCATCCTCCAAGCATTTACAAACTCCATTGGCACTGCATCTATTTATGTGCTGCTCTGAGAATGTTCTTAAGTCATTTTCATGAGTGTGTGCTCTTTCATCTCAATTCAGCTTTATGTTCCTGCAAGGCAGGGAAAGAGACCTTTACGGTTTTTGCAGTGGCTTCCGCAGAGCCTGATTCAATTCTTGCTTTTGGGGTTAACTAAATCAAGCCACCATCCTCACTCCCCTGAACATACTGATGCAAACTGCATGGTGAAGAACAGAGGACAGGGAAATCAGAAGAGAAAGTGGGCATTTGCAGATGCTGTTATTGTGGGGACAAAACAAGTATTTTCAGACAGAACACAAGAGGGAAAATGTGGCGTCAATTGGGAGGAGTCAGACGTCGTCTCAGAGGGGTGTATGGTAGTGAGATAATCCTTCCATTTGAAGGGTAGAGGACATACCAGGGCAGATATGGTGAAGATAGCATCAGTGTTGAACTGTAAAGGATGGTAATAATTGGGAATTTACAAAGGGGTAGACATTGGGACAGATTGAACAACAGAAACAATGGTTTCCTTAGAGTAATTGCAGTCAGACATGAGAAAGAGGGTAATGGTCTGTATAGCTGAGCTCTCGGGTGCAGCAATG